TCCTAGTAGTACGGCCAGGAGCCCCTAGTAGCGTCCTTGCTCCTAGTGCGACACTGAAATTGTCTTCAGGGTGATAGCATGAAGAAACAAACTATACTGCTGTGTCATCTGCGGTCACATCTGCTTCCAACTTGATCAAAATCAGGTCCCACTATTATGCTATACATTGTTTGGGGAGTGAACTTGATGGTGCATGCCATCAGCATATGTACCTTGGAATGCTCTACGAGTAGTTTCTCAAACCCACCACCTACGTTTTTGTAAGGCATGCCCGGCGGTACATGGCAAAGGTCTCGCAGCCAGGCGTTCAATGTGCGAGGAAGCCAGACCTCGGTCGGTCAACCTACCAGGGTGAAAGGGGCTGGTGCCCACAGTCAGATCTAACCGGTCTCCAAGGTGAAGACAGACTGTTTCTGAAATGGTTGAGACCGATTCCTTTTCGCCACACAAAAATATGCCAAAAATGCAGACTTGCCGCATGTTCTGCGTTGGCGACCGAGGGTCGTTCGGTCAGCTTGGAAACCTTTCGGAGACCATCAGGCCTGGAGACCTTCGGGTCGGGGGTCTCCCATGGGGGGGTCTGTCATGGAAGATGCTTCGGCATCGTCCCCGACAGGCGGACCCGACTCGCATTCGGACCCGATCTGGAACGAACATAGAGACAGGTGTGCCCTAAGCTTCCAACAACCATTCATTTAATAGGCTTTACCGAATCAACTAAGGATTTTACACTAAAGAAACCAGGTCAACCATTATTTTAATGGTCTTGGAAGTCTAGGGTGTGTGTGTTTTGATATCTATCTAGAACTAAAATCATGCCTTGGAATCGTTTTCGTCCTCTGGACATCTGCGGGGAGAGGACCCGAGTCAAGAAAGAGCTGCAGAGATTAGATTTTAAACCATTGCCCAAACATGACGGCTTCATTTGAAAAGAGTCACCAACCCAGATTTCCCGTGTATTCAGCGTGGTTTATAAATATTAATGTCCCAAGTCCTTCCATCACAGGCATCACTGGGAGAATGTGATTTCGATTCTGCCTGTTCCGCCTGTTCCGCGCGGATAGGCCCCCAACGCATTCCAAGCTCGCCCCAGTGCTCTGCCCCTGCTTCATGGCCTTGGTCACACGCACGATGTGTCGGCGTCTTCAATCTGGCAAAAAAAATGAAACCATGTGTGTCTTTCCCCCCCCAAGAAAGGCACAGTTTTCGGCACTCTTCTGGCAGGATGGTTGCACTCTGAAGTTCTTCACTTTTCAGCTCCCTTAGACTGGACGGGGCGGCTGGTGCCCGAGGGCGTCGGTGACCTGGGGGAAGAATTCGGGAGGAGCACACCCGTCGCGACGGCAGCACACGCCGCGCGTGTCCTCCCAGGACATGGTGCATGGAGGAGTACAGATGGGGATCCGGCTCAGTCCCACGCCTGTTTTGGGCGCGGGGGACTTTCTCCTCAGTGACGGATGTAGGTTGGCGCACAAAAACGACAGCGGTCCTGACAGCTCATCCACATCGCCCACCACTTCTGGAGAACCCCAACCGACCGTGACCTGTGCAGAGTTTCCACCCTCCCATCCTGCGGGTCTCCTGCGGGTCCGCTGCAATCGTGCGGCGACAGCCAGTT